ACTTGTGTATTTGACATAACTTCACACCAACTTTCTTACATTAAATCAGGATTATTATCAGTGATGCTGTGAGTCACTGATAACAAATAAACTGCATGTTGATTTTATTTATTTATTCTTATTATTATTATTAATATTATTTTATTTTATTTTGTTTTATTTATTTTTTCCTATTCCTGCTGTTATATTAAGACAGAGAGACTCAGAATGATGGAGCCCAGAGAACAGAACCGCTCTGGTTCCTTCTCATTAAACCGTCCAGTCCTCATACATCATGTTTAACTGTTGACGTGTTTACAGACTTTCTCACACGTTTTGCTGTTTCTGTCACTTCGTCTCCTCGTCCTGCAGATGTTGAACTATCTCCACGTCTCTGGAGACACATTTAAACTCTGGACACATGGAGATGGTTCAACATCTGCAGGACGAGGAGACGACATCAGCTCCAGGGTTTAACATCTGGAGACATGTTGCTTCAATGTTTGTAAAATCAAACTGACATGATGAGTCTTTCTTTAAATACATTTTTGTACAAAAAGCCAAATTAAATTGACTGAAATCTTCCAAGATGGTTGAACACTTGGCGAAGGTTTTGTTCATGTGTTGAATTCTTCCGTATTTCAGCTGAACAACAACGCAGCAGCGCGATTGGCTGCTCCGGTCTGTGATGTATGAAACTGTGAACGTCTGGATCTGTGCTCGTGAGCCTGTGATCAGGTCGCTGCAGTGCTGAAGAGGAACTGTTCAGCCATGACTCGGTGTTTCTCTCATGTTGTGTCTCATGAATTAAAACATCATACGGAGGAAAAGTTCTGCAAACGTTCTGCTGATTGATGCCGGTTGACAAGTTCTCCAGTATTTTAGTCACCGGCTGAACGTTTCCACTAAACGCTGACTCACCACCACAGCAGGACGTTGCTGAAACACACTTTGTCTTCTGTTTCTGTGGCCGGCGTCAAGAACACGATTCATTCCCAAAACCACAGAGCTGAACCTGAGCCGGAACCTCGTCCTCACAGCGAGGTGTGGAAACGCCGGCGGCCGGTTCAGACGTCATCGAGTCAACGTTGAACTCACCGTGACTCATCAGAAAGCTCAGAGCGCTGCAGCTCCAGAGAACACGGCTGCAGGTGAAGAACAAGCTGAAGACTGAACACCGTGTCTGCTTTCATGTTTGTGTTTTAATGCAGAAACCTTTAACCAGAGCTTAGACAGAACCAGAAACTTCCACCACATCCAGAACCGACCTGAGTGAAGCAAACAGCAGATCCAACAGTTTGGTTTGTCAGAGCTCAGATCTGTGAAATACAAGAATCGCTGCAGTGATGAGATGTGTGAGATAGAAGCAAAGTGAAATCAGAAGCAGAACCCAGTGGAAACCCCATTCACTGTAGAACAGAGTACAACAAGTGAGTGTTATAGAATAAAAGTCTTCCTGTCACATCCTCCGTCTTCTCTCCTTCGTCTGAAATGTTCTGTTTTGTTGTCGGTCTTTATCTTCTGTTCTTTCATCTCTCATTTTGTTCTTCGTCCTTTGTTCATGTCTCGTCCTTCAGTCTTTCTTCCTCCCGCCGTCCTGCTTTCCGTCTTCCTCCATCATTTCATCCACTGTCCTCCTTTGTTTCGTCCACCCGTTGTCTTCTAGCCATCTTCGTCTTCTGTCATTCGTCCTCCATGTCTCGCTGTCCATCCGTCTCCGTCCGTCTGTCGGGCAGCGGAGGTGAAGGCTCCTCCTCTTCCTCCTTCGCCTCCTCAGGTGAGCGAACAGGTGAGACGCTGACGTTCAGCTTCTTGCTGACTCGGGCGTAGACGGAGTTGTTGTCGCGTTCGTTCAGGTCGGCTGCAGCGTCGGGCTCTTCGCTGTGATTGGCTGCCGGCGATGGTGCGTCGTCGCTGCTGCTCCGCCTCCAGTCGGTGGTGTCATAGATGTGGGCGGAGTCTGGAGGCGAGGAAACACATTTAGCACCTGGTTAGCATCACTGACGTTCTGTTTCCCTGCTTTTGTTTTTGTTTTCTCTTATTTTCCATCTTTAACATTTTGACGTCTTTTCCTCCGTTTTTTAATTTATTTCATCTCTTTTTTTCTTCTATTTCATTTTCTGCCCACATTCATCCTGTCGGCTCTCTGTTCTCTCAGTTTTAATCAACTTCCTGCAGAAGGTTCATTTCGTAAAACACATTTTTAAACAAACACAAATAAACAGGTAAAGAATGAGAGAGACAGAAAACGGCCACAACACATAAAAACATCAGCAAACGGATGAATAAATAAACTGACAAAGATAAAGAGACACGTCTTCTGCAGGAATCTTCTGCTTATTTCCCAGTTTATTTATTCATCTATTTATCAGATAAATAATAACAATTAACAGAACAATAAATATGCAGGTAAAGAAATAAACAGAAAGATAAAAACAAACAGGTAAAAATAATGGATAAATAAACAAACTGAAATAATAAACAGAAAAATCTGAAAACTCCTGCAGACAATTTGTGTTTTTAAACCGATAAACAAACAAACACGTAAATAAATAACCAGAAAAGTAAACAGATGGTAAAGAAGCAGAAAAAACAATCATATCAATAAAAATGGATCAATACACAGGTCGATAAGAAAGCATGTGACCAAACAAAGAAACAAATCGACATGTAAACAAACAAACAGGTAGACTGAACCTTGGCTCTGTGGCGCCCCCAGGTGGCTCCTCCAGGGAGTGAACGTCACCTCAGGTTCCTCCTCAGGACGTGACTCTGAACAGGAACACATGGAGACAAAGGCATGATGGGAAATGTAGTGACTGCGTTTATTCCCTGTTTCCTTTAACGTTCTCAGTAAAACTCATGTTTCAGCTGTTCAGGTGTCTGGAAGGAGAACATTTAGTAGAACAAAACCAGCTTCACATGATGGGAAACTAAACATGAAGCGTCTCGTAGCTCGGCTTATCTAGAACCAACACCTAGAACCAACACCTAGAACCAGCACCTGGAACCAACACCTAGAACCAGCACCTAAAACCAACACCTAGACCCAGCACCTAGAACCAACACCTAGAACTAACAGACGGACCTGGCTGGCTCCCCGGCGCCCCCTGGTGGCTCTTCCAGGAGGTGACACCTTCAGGACGAAACTCTGAAGACAAACAGAAAACAGAACATCATCAAGAGAG